TTAGGAACACTTTTCCCATATATATGTATGTGTGTGTGTGTGTGTGTGTGTGTGTGTGTGTGTGTGTGTGTGTGTGTGTGTGTGTGTGTGTGTGTGTGTGTGTGTGTGTTTGTGTGTGTGTACATATATATGATAGATTAGATTAGGGGTGTTAGTCAATGGGAATTTTTTTTCAAGAAGTGGGATAATTGTTGAAGTGGAACAATTTTTTGAATGTGGAATATTTTAGTGGGATAATTGGAAACATTTTTTAACAGTTGGGTATTTTGGTAAGATGATGTGGGATAATTTTTGATAATAGAGAACTATATATTTTTTGCATTTTGATGATATAGCTACTAATTTATATATATTTAAACTTACTATTATTTATTAATAATTATTTCATATATTGTTAGTTATTGTTAAATAACTTTTGGTTAGAATACATTATATTGTTAATAATAATTATTATAATACTTCAGAACTTTTTTATTTTTGTTAATTATTATACTACAAGTAAAGTCTTCCATATTCCTTCATTTCTTACAACACCCCTTTCCTCATATCTCAATTCAATAATTTTTGAAATAACTTACAGATCTATAAATTTTATTATAAAATAATTATATAAATATAATACTCAATAAACAAGAAAATAATATATAAAGAGAGGATTAAGAGGAAAGACGATCTAGTATAATAACATGATCAGATGATGGCGATGACTATTGGAGTAAGAGAGGATGGATAAAAGAAAAGAAAGAAATGAACATGAGAATTCTAGTTTTTTACTAATTAGTTCTAGCCCGAAATTTGGGATAATTTTAGAGGTTAGTGTTAGGCCTCATATTTATGAACATACTATCTAATCTAGTTTTGATGATTAACAAATAATTCCTAACAATGTTTGTCGAGTATTTATTTGTTTGTTAGGTATTCTACACAAAGATCCTCTATTGGAGGTTGGATAAACTTGCACCTACACAATCATATCCATTGGAAGATGGAAGAAATATCGGAATGAAGCTTTGCATTTCAAGTCAAGTACAAGTTCAAGCTTTATCTGCAACCAAGACGAGCATATCAAAGATCTCTTAGTTTGAGTATATTGTTTCTAGTTTAGATCTTATACTTTGTGTGTTTATGATTAAAGCTTATATATTACACACATACATGTTTTCGGTTTATCGCTTTCAAGTTAAATCAAATAAATATGAAACAAATAGTTACATTTACAAACATACAAATAAATATGAAACAAATAGTTACATTTACAAACATACATGCTAGTTTCATATTTATCATCTTTATTTGGAAAATAATGTGTTTATGTAGTTACATTTACAAACATACATGCTAGTTTCATATTTATCATCTTTATTTGGAAAATAATGTGTTTATGTATTAAAGACTTGTTTACACTATTTTATATTTTTCCTCAAGTCTATTAATTTATTAAAAAATGTTTCAAAACTTGTTTGTATTGATTTCATCAAAACCAAGTTTTGATGATTTCGTATTGTTTAACAGTTTGCAAAATAAATAATTTTTTACAAATGGGAAATGAAAATAGAGAAATTCGTTTTCTAAAATATTCCATTACATGTTTATAAATATTTTCCAAAATGTTATCATTTTTGGAGTTGATTTACTATGTTAAATTGATTTTACAAACTCAAGTATTTTAGCAGTTTTTAGTATCTAGAATATCTATTTTAAAATAGTGATTTCTCACAAATGGAAAGTGATATTTCAGAAATTCTTTCTCCAACATGTTTATCTACGTGTATAGAAACATTTCTAAAAATTTTTACGATTTTTTGGAGAATTTTTTTGCTATTTTTAATTGATTTTATAAAATCAGATACATAAAATTTTAGAATCTGTCGTGTATGTGATCAGTCGAATGAACAGTATTTTAGTCGATCGATCAGTCGATTGAACAATAATTTCAGTTGACTAAACAGTACTGTTGAATAGCGGCTAGTTTTTTTTTCTAGATTTTTATTTTTATGAGTTTTGCCTCGTTTTTTATGCTTTCCTCTGGCTTGGGATGATATGTTGAGAGACTATATATAGTTCTCAACGAGCAAAACTTGTGTCAACTTAAGTGGATAGCAAAAAATTATCCATCAAATTTTTTAGCCACTCATATTACCTAGGGATCCTTGCATGATATGAAAATGTTTTTTATATTAATAAATGAGTGGTTAGGAAGTTTGGTGGACATCAACTTAAGTTGATAGGAGTCTTACTCGTCCTCAACACTTAGATTTTGTTATAAAAGTTTAGAATAAGTTTTACAAGTTTTTGAGAGTTTTTTTAAGAGTTTAAAGTGTGTTTTTGGTTTATGCAAAAGAGTTTACAAGGAGGACAATCAAAATTTCATCTTTGAGGATTTTATCCTCAAATCTTCATTCCTCACTTGTTTAGAGAAGTTTTTCTAAACTCATTTATCTAGCTTGCTTTCATTTTGATTCTTATATATATGTGCTAGATTAATTTGAGTTTAATTCTTTTTTACTCATTGTTTCACACACAACCACTTGAGCTTGAGTATTTTCACATATAGTATAAATTGGGTTGTGGGTGTAATTATTGAGTGAACTTTTATTTTCGATCTCATTTGTATTAGAGAACAAAATCATTTATTTGAGCTTATAGTTGTGAAACACATTGTAATACATAAGGACACTTAGATGAGTGGTTGGTAAGAGACGAGGTCAATTCTAAGAGGAGTGGCGTCGGTTGTAAATCCTAGGAAGAGGTCGTAATTCTGAGCACTTGAGGAATGTGACACGGCCTATGCCAACACTTAGCGGAGTGTATTGTGTATTGACAATCATGTGAGTTGTAAACGTTATCGGTGAGCGTTGAAAACCGAATTGTATAGTTATTTGAGTTGATAATGGATATTCTCCTCGAGGGTGAGGAGCGGAGACATAGGTCGTTGGTTGACCGAACTCCGTGATTATTTGTTTGTATTTGTGTTTGGCATTGGCGTACTTATTATTGTCTCATTGTTTATTTCGCCTATTGTCATATTGTTTATTCTTGCACATCCTTGCATATATCTCATTATATATCTCATTGCTAGGATATTTGTTAATTAGTTTTAATTTGGCAAAGTAATCGTATTAGATTATCAAATACCCTATTACCCCTCTCTAGGGTACTTTCAGTTAGAACTCTCATTTTTATATACAAAAAATGAAAAAAGTAAAATAATTTTTTACAATTATCCTAGCTATAATATTGTTCTAGTTCTAATTGATTAACACTATAAATTGTATCAAAGTTCAAGTTCTAATTGACTAAAACTGTAAAAATTTATCCTATAAATTATCTTAGTTCTAATTTTGAGTTCTATAGCAATGCAACTAATTTTGAGTTCTATAGCAATGCTTCGGTACTCCTAAAATTTGTAATTTTTTATTTAATATAATTTAAAGGGTAAAATTGTACTTTCTCCACTATCTTTTTCCTCACGACTCGAGATCCAAAATTTCACAATTATTTCTAAAAAAATGCAGATGATGAAGGACGGAGAGTTAAATTAAGAGTTGAAAATTCCAATTACTAAATCTGTAGATAAAGTTGGATTAAAAGTGATATTTTAGCCATGATTTTTACTAGCAAACAATTGAGTTTTAGCCATGATCTTTGCTACAAGAATTGAGTTAATGGCTAAGTCGACAGCAATGGGTTAAGAAATAAGAATGAATCGAATGAACACGATGAGAATTTTAGTTAACTAACTGCCCTTGAAAGAGGCGATAATTACAATTGTAGGTTCGGAACTTAAGGCTTTTTTGGATTTGCAGCTAGTGAACGGAAGTTAATGGAACATAGGATAAGTTAAATTAAAGGAATGTAAGGGAATATGTGAAGGGAAGGTATGTAAATATATATAAATTTACATAAATAACTTACATGTCATTTCATCCCTTTGAATCTCATCTTGATATGGGGATAAATATGTCTTTATGTGATATTTGTAGTGGAGAGACCACTACTTTTAATTTCAAGCATTAATTATTTAGTAGGCGGTTATGATACAATCTAAATCTAACACTTATCATACCCCCGTGTATTGCACTCATGATACAATCTAAATCTAACACTTATCATACCCCCGTGTATTGCACTCATTCCTAATTTGCACTAAAAGAAAAAATCATAACCATCAACTAGATAATCAATGGCTGTGATTATGTAGTGGTCTCTCCACTATTTTTTTTGTAGTGGAGAGGATCCGAATCCCTCCATTACACCCCAAATTAGGAAAGAACAAAACCTAATCTCTTTTCCCTTCCATTACCTTAACTTCCCCTTCGTTAACTAGCTCAAATGAATTCCCAAAGAAGGTGAATGTGTCCCCTAACTTACCTTCACTCATATTACCCCCAATTCAAATAAGCCCTCAGATTTTTTTTTTTGTGGCAGGCGATTTTCCCAAGTGAGAGAGCGCAAAGTAAGGATACTAATTACCTTTTATGCCATCGGTACTCTCAAAAATAATTTTGGGAGCACTAAAAGCTATTGGCTTTTATTAATAACTAGCTAATGAAAACATTGCAAGTGAATTAACATTTTCTATTTTCAAACTGAAACTTAAAATTTGTTGGACTTAAATTTAGATTATGAGGATAAGTAAATCTCAAGTGCTTCTAGATCATGTTTATTTAAATCAATTATTATGTTTAAGTTTTTGCTAAGGAGTCCGGCTCTCAATTTTTTCTATTATCTAAAATCAAATAATATAGATGAAACCATATCAATGATCATCCACAATCTGAACATTTTGCTGCCTATGAAGCCGGATATCTTTTTTGAGAAAAAGAAGCTGAACATCATCAAAAAAAAATATGCTCAGTCTATCATTACAATGCAGATTGAAGGCAGAGTTTTTTATTCAGCCAAAACAGAGTTTAAAAGAGTTTGCTACATTGGACATGAGATATTTACAAAACCTTCGAACTCAAGGTTCAATGTAACCATTACAGTCATCAATCTCAATGATATGGTTTCCAAGTTGCAAAAGCCTACTATTTTCCACCCTGTTTTTAAAGCACAAATTACTGTAACAACAGCTTTGTTAGTCAATAACGTCGCAAGTATCAACAGTGACCGGATGATCCAGCAAGAGAACTCGGGAGATGCATTGCTTCAACTCGAATTATAACCTCGTGAAGAGCTCGAACTGTAAGAAGAGGGCAAGGAGAGACCTATAGAATGTGGAGATATATGGTGCGACATTCCACATATGTTTCTTTGTCCTGAAAAGTTTATGTTCATACATAGATCAGGTGAGATATTGTAGGATCTGTATGAGCTAGCCATATGATGAGTAGTGCACAAAGAAGATGGAGATAAGACTACTGGTGTGTGTAACGATTTTGCCAAGGAAGAAATTGGTATTGATGAAGATGAAGATTGGGAATCAGAATAAAGCAAAGGAGTAGATTCTGAGGCTGGGGGGATGTTGATGTTCGTCCTGGCATCCCGTTTGCACACAGGGCAAAATGTTCTCCATGATGTGAGCCAAGAATCAACACAAATTGCATGGAACACTGAAAAAAAAATTGAAGCACTGTGTCAATACAAACTAATAAATGGTTTTAACAAACGAAAAGATTATAGAATATAAGAACATAGGATAGCTGCAGTAGAGCTTACAGATCGTAATATGGTAGTTCTATAGTGTCCAATACTATGAGAGTGTGTGATGCTACCTATCCAAAGCTCACCAGAAAATTGCCCAAGCAATTTACGAGCACAAATCATGAAAACCCCTACTGTTTGGGCCCAGGATAGAAAGTTATATTTGCCCAATTTGTTGACAATTCACCAAAAGTATCTGTTGAGCGTTGCGGAAGCCAAACAATCAAACCAACGTGCTACGAGAAATCAAATCAAACGAACGTCGAGAAAAGGCCAAACGAACTAAATCAATGTCACGAACTAAATCAATGTCATAAACACAACCAACCAATTTTAACGTGGTTCGGCAAGTTGTCTACGTCCACGGGGCAAGAAGGGGATAAGATTTTTCACTAATAGAGGAGAAGAGTACAAACTGAGATTACAAATCACTCAAACTCACTAATTAATCTCACCAAAAAATCTCTAATTCTCTCCAAACAAAACCCTAACCAATAGCGCAGAAAATACCTCTTATCTGTGCTCCAAATATTCCCAATTTTCTTCTCAATTCTCTCTTCCAATTGTTCCATATATATATAAATCCTAAAATCATAAACATACTGGGGATTCTAAAACAAAAAACAAAACAGATTAGGAATCCTAATAACCTGTTACCAAAACATATTAGGAATCTCAATAATTTGTTACCAAAACAAATTAGGAAACATATTAGGAACCTGCTATCCAATAATTCTCCACCTCGGCAAAGTTTTTCCAAAACTGACCCGACACCCAGTGTTGTCAATGCGCGAAGCGCAATGCGGGGCGCAAAGCATCTTTACGGGCACATGCGCAAGGTGCAACGCGATGCGCGCGCCTGAGTGATGCGAGGCGCACACCGCACCCTTAATTTTTTAATATAAGTAATCAAGCGCGAAAGAACATGTTTTTAGAATTTATATAAAAATTATAATGATAAATAATATCTTACTACAAAATCACAATATAATACCTTAATTTGTAATGCTAACACCTAACATAGTAGCAAAATTCATAAATTTTTAAATCAAATGTTAAATCAAGATTAATATACAAGCAAAGGATTAGTAATTGTCCTCAATTGAATGCTATTAAAAATGCCTAATGGATTTATTTTGCTTTTTAGGATATGGAATATCAAGTATAAAGACTCGATTGAAATGTTAACAAATAAAACTATATGAGGATATGTACTATATGCACCTTACACAAAGCAAGGATGTACGCGAGGCGCAAAAAGCGCTGCTGCATCAGATGTGGGGCGCTTCGTCACCGCCCCGCATCGTAAGGCGCATGAGGCGCAATGAGGCACGCGCATTTGAAAACACTACCGACACCAATACCAACCAAACGTCTCACTTGTTGTGTCCAGTACGAAGTGGAACAAATCCACAATAACAGACTCAATCCACAACAAGTCGAGAACCCAAACGAGAATGCGAACAAACTCCAAATGTTGGTATCAACTCACCAAACCGGCTGCATCATAAATGACTGCCTACGTATCCTCTTCCCCAAGGAATCAAGCATTCACGTAGTTCAACTAAACAACCTCCAAAGGCCCTCAATCAAATAGAAAAATTTACAACTCTTCACCAATATCACCAACGGATCTGTAACTGATAGCGCTCCCAATGGCCCCAAACTGAAACAAATCAAACACCTCCACCTGAGGTGAACCAATGGTCGTATCCAAAACATGTCCACCAGCTGCACTCGAATCCAAAACCAACTCATCATCTGCATCCAAATCCAAATGATCTCCAAACTGTGTCACCTCAGCTAGAATCCCAAACGATGCAGTATGGTCTGGAGTATGTGGAGTAATCTCCACCCAATGTGAAGTAGCATCACCCTTCACCCGTTACGATATCCCAATGATCTGATCAACACTCTCCACCTGCCGAGAGTCAAGTGTGACATACCTGCTCAGAACAAAATCAGAAACTCCTAACTGATAATCAAACGAACCTGTGAATCCCAAACGTGCAATCAGATCAAATCTCACATCCTCGATGTGACTAAATGCTGGGCAACCAAATATCCGATGCAACCCAAAATCTGAAGCAGCTCTACCAGATCTAAAATCTCCACACGCAGCAGTCGGCAACCTATGACCAAGATGATCCAAATATGTCGAAGCTCCAAAACCAAAATCAATGCTCGACAACCAACGCCGATCCCCCTCCAGTAAAGAACGATCCATCAAAACTGTCATCTCATCTCGTCGCCCCAATGTCTCCACATCAATGAAGTGTCTCAAACTGCTAGGGGTGAGCACGGTTCGGTTCGGGTCGGTTTTTATTAAAATTTAAACAACCGAACCGAATTACCTACAATTCAAAACCAAACTGAACCGTTGCAAATCGATTCGGTGCGGTCGGTTCGGTTTGTTCGGTTCTAACTTCATCAAGTATAACAAATCAAAGGCATAAATATAACTTTCCCCAAGAGTTTATATCCAGGCATCCAAGCAAATAAACACAACAGCAAGTTAATAGATAACCATGTTTCAACTGAGCAAATAGTTCAACAAAGTAATGCTCATGACAGCTTTGTACAGTGAATTAGGCAGAAGCAAACGAACGCAACAAACCATATTCGAAAACTTTGTACAATGAATAAAACTTTCATCAAGCACTTCATGCTGGTAATGGATCATCTTCTTGTTGTTGCTGACTTCCATTATCCATAGATTTTTGAGGCAATTATGATTAGCAAGTTTCAATCAAAAAAAATCCACAACAAAAACGAAAATAATCAAATCCATAGATGAATCGTTCGAATTGGGATCTTTGTTCTGATTAAAAGAGTTGGATTCATGGTTTCGAGATCCATTACCAGCATCATGATAAAAACAAAAATAAAATAGATTAGAATTGAAGGAAGCTTGAAGAAGAGCAAAAGAGATCACTGAGATGTTATACCTCGGCCTCGGTGACGGTGACGGGTGCGGATGTCCCCCCAAAGCCGGAGATACATCTTGAGCCTGATCCTGAGCCGGAGACAGATCCATGAAGAATCGAAGACTGCGGAGCGCTCGCGGCGCGGGTGGCGACTGTCGGCTGTCGGCTGAGGAGAGTGAGAGAGAGTGAGAGAGGCGGACCGCAGCTGGTGGTTGTTGGTTGTCGTAGGTGGCGGGCCTTACGCCTGTCAGCTGAGGTCCTGAGGAGAGCGAAAGAGAGATTGAGGGAAATGGGAGTGGCGGCTGGGACTGAGAGTGAGAGAGGAAATGGGGAGGTTAGGGCAACTTGAGTCTTGAGGGTTGGGTACGGGTGAACGGGTATGGTTTGAGGCAGGGGAATATATTCGGTTGGTTCGGGTCAGGTCAGTTTGAAAAGTTATCAACCCGACCCGAACCGCCTTACGCATAAAACCGCTTTTTTCGGGTCGGTTCGGATCGGTTCGGTCGGTTTTTTTGGTTTGAACCGAACCGTGCTCACCCCTACAAACTGCCATGAGCTCGGCACAAATACAAGAAAGAACCCCTACCAAAGCTAGAACGACGGATTACCTTTCTACCAATACACTTCTTCCAATTATTGTTGACTTCTAGGACTTCACACCAATGGGACCTGGTTGCAACCCACCAATGCCTAGAACAATCCCCAACTGTGGAAACCAAATATCGATTACCTCCCAATGATGCCTCCTTGGAAGGCCCTAAAATACCTGACTGAACACCACCTAAAAGACCCCTCGATTGATGGAGAGAAGTGCCAAACTCCACCTCGGTCTTCTTGCACATACCAATATGCTCAAATAACTTCAATCTGCAGGTCAAAACACTCCTCAACAAACTATACACGGCATAACCAATCAAATAACTCAGCCTTAACAAATGCCACAGTCTAGCCAAATCCAAAGAAATCGTCAGCTCTCTATCAAACACCGTGCTCCCAATCAAATAATACAAATTATTCTTCCTGACGCCATTCATCACAATCATGGATCCCATTATGACCTTCAAACGTGAATCGACCAAGGTCACCCTATAGCCTGCTACCTCCAAAATTCTAAGTAAAATAATGTTCTTCTTCAACTGATGAACGAACCTCACTCCAACCAACTCCCTAATCACTCCGTCACTCATCCTAATCTGAACGGTACCGATACCACCAATAGGACATTCATGATCATTACCCATGAGCACGACCTTCCCTCTTTCTAACTCCTGAAAGCTGGAGAACCAATCCCTCTTAGGACAAATATGGTAAGAAACACCCGACTCCAATATCCATTCTATAGAGTCGGTAACACAAACCGACTGTAGTGCAGATAACGAGTAGCCCGAAGAATCCGAATCTGTATTATTACCACTAGCCTTGACAACATTCACCTCTAAAGCTTAAATAGTTTTTCCCTTATTCTTCCCGGCTTAATCAACCAACTTTGGACATTCGGCTTTCCAATGTCCATCCTCTTTACAAAAGGTATATTGATTCCTACGAACTCCAAGATATGCCCCTCTAGACTGCGACCTTCTACCACGGTTTGGGTTCTTTGCTCTTGCGACCAATGCCCCGGCTACCGGCTCAACTGAAGTCTTCTTATCCTTCTTTCAAAGATGATAATTCACAAGTGTAGCGGTGACCTCACTATAAGAAAAAGATGCCTTCCTATTAATAAGAGTAAGAACGAATGTCTCATATTCCTCGTCAGGCAAGAAACTCAACAACAACACCACCTTGTCCTCATCTTCAATCATCACATCTACATTCGTCAAATCCGTAAGAAGCTTCGTGTAGTGGTTCATGTGATCACCAATGGAGATCTCCTTCTTTAATTGGAAGCGATAAAATCTCCTCTTCAAATGCAAACGATTCTCTACACTCTTGGTCAAATACTTGCCCTCTAGGATCTCTTAAATCTTCTTAGTCGAATTCTCATTGATCACATCATATTTTAAATCTTGAGTCAAACAAGATCTAATCACACCACACGCCGTTCTATTCATCTTTTTCCAAACATTCTTCTCAATGTCGTCCGGTTTTCCGTCCAACTCCAAAATATCTTTCAAATTTTGCACATTGAATGCATCCAAGACTTCACATCTCTAAAAATCAAAATTATTTGTGCCATTAAACTTCTCCACATCTATCTTTATAGAGTGGATATTCAAACTTTAGACGGTCTTTACGCCGGAAGTACCCTCCACAACTCCTTCTTTCCCGACCATTTTTCTCAAAGCACCAAAACAAATGCGGAACAAATAAAGAATAGATCCAAAACTAAAAAGGTAGAGTATTTATCAAAAAGATCTCACCTTTATCATCAAACAAAACCCTAGGCGAGCCTCCAAAACGATCTACTTCTCCAAATAGCTCAAATGTAGCCTGAGCTCTGATACCACTTGTTGAGCGTTGCAGAAGCCAAACAACCAAACCAACGTGCTACGAGAAATCAAATTAAACGAACGTCGAGAGAAGGCCAAACAAACGAAATCAATATCACAAACAACCAATTTTAACGTGGTTCGGCAAGTTATCTATGTCCACGGGGTAAGAAGGGAATAATGTTTTTCACTAATAGAGAAGAAGAGTACAAACTGAGATTACAAATCACTCAAACTCACCAATTAATCTCACCAACAAATCTCTAATTCTCTCCAAACAAAACCCTAACCAATAGCTCAGAAAATACTTCTTTTCTGTGCTCCAAATATCCCTAATTTTCTTCTCAATTCTCTTTTCCAATTGTTCTATATATATAGAAATCCTAAAATCATAAATATACTAGGAATTCTAAAACAAAAAACAAAACAGATTAGGAATCCTAATAACCTGTTACCAAAACAGAGTAGGAATCCCAATAACCTGTTACCAAAACAGAGTAGGAACCTGCTATCCAATAGTATCTTCATATCCTTCTTACTACAAATCTTATACTACTTTTATACTACTAGAAACAAAAATGTGAATTGTATTTGCAACTAACCTACAAGAATAACCTGTGTTTCATCTTGTTACATGAAAAAATTATTAAAGCTAAAGTTATTGCAATTCACCTAAAAGCAACAGATAGCAAATAACAGCTATTGATATGGACAAGAGACTTACTGTGACGACATGGGAGAATTCTAAGCCTTTCTCCAGTACTATAGTCTTCGAGGCAAATAGCACAAGTACTCGAAGTACAATTATCCTCCAAAGCACATGTGAATCTCACACTCGGCATTGCTTTCACCAAACTACCACTCATTCCATGAAACTCTTGGAGTTGAGGAGCTATAAACCTTTCACGTACAGCGTTGTGTCCATGTAAACATGTAGCCATCACAAAAACCATGGCAAGTAGCGATAAGAAAGAAACAGTCATCGCAGACCATGGACGGTTTTCGGAGTCAGGTAAGATCCATGTCTCAACATCAGAACGACCTGCGTATTCCTTCAGTATTTTTCCTGAGGCTTTCGATATAAAGACCGCATATATCTTGATGCCATCTTGGGCTCCTCTCACTGAATAGTTCCACAATGAAATATCTGAATTAGTCTCTGTAATTATCAGAAAGCAAAGGCTGGCTGTCAAAGAGAATAACTAGACATTGCGGAAATGCTACTAGAAAAGGAAATTAAACCTAAACCTCAAGAAAAGTCTAATGTCGACGAGTAAGTCAATAACCCCATGCCTCTCATAACAAGTCGAACTCATAAACCCATGCCTCTTATAACAAGTCGAACTCACAACTGGATAAATGCAAGTAGAACATTCTAGACATTGCAGAAAGGCTTGACAATTGCTAGTAGATAGGAAATCAGATCTCAAGAACATCCTATTATTGATCAGCAACAGTCATAACGAGTAAAGGATCCATTACTTTTTAACAAGAAGATGATAGCTAAAGTAATTTGTCTATTTGAAGGATTAGACCTATGATAGTATGCAAGATAAAAAGACTAGAAAAATAATCCATGCTTGGTATGCGTGTGTGTGTGTGTGTGTGTGTGTGTGTGTTTGTGTGTGTGTGTTTTCTGAGATTACCATCATAAGCATGCAAACAGTCACTTCCCACAGTAAATGTAAGAGCCTTCTTGAAATTAGAAATGAAAGTATAACAGTCTGCTAATTGCAACATAATAATGGTGTGGTCATGGGGTGAAAATGGAGAGTAGGGAAAAGGAATGTTCAAAGCCATAGGATAGTCTGCTAATTGCAACATAATAATGGTGTGTGGTCATGGGGTGAAAATGGAGTAGGGAAAAGGAATGTTCGAAGCCATAGGAATAAAAGGTAATCGTTAATTACTTTAAGATGTGGCCACAAGACATGAATTTAATTATTAGTGACAAAGGGTTATTATTAATTACTCGTGGGTGTTGCCGCTCACGTTCTTCGCTTAAATTGTCACCTGGTGGTTACAATTGAAGTATAATGCAAATATTAGAGTAATAAATTGCAACTAAGAATGATTCACGGTACCTACCTAAAGCACAGAGATATTTGACAGGTGTGTGCAAGAGCTGGAGACTCATGGATGTGGAAACAATTACTAGAAGTAAGGGATAAAGCTTTGGCTCTCTGTGGGGGTGTTGATAATTTAAAGCACCTCATCAGTTCATGTTTTAGGAACTCAAAATTAAAGCTCTCAACCCTGTACATTGCTCTCTCCCCTGCTACAGAAAATGTGCCATGGTTCAACACAGTGTGGGAGGGTTTGATCCTAAACACTCCTTCATTTGCTGGTTGGCATTTCAAGATAGACTTCTTACTCAGGACAGACTTCTTAGGAGAGGATTTATTAATGCAAATGCCTGCAGCTTATGTTCAGGTGCGGGAATGGAGTCCAGGGATCATTTGTTTTTTGAATGTTCCTTCTCGTGTAATGTCTGGAATTGCATAATGGATTGGTTGGAGTTTAATTGGAGATCTTCAAACCGGAATCAGCTCTTGTTTTGGTTTACTACCAGGCTAAGAGGGAAATGTTTCAAACAGAGACTCAAGAGACTGGCGTTAACTACCACAATTTATAAAATTTGGTGTGAACGCAATGTGAGGCTCTTTCAGCAGAAATACAGGAGTGAAGATCAGCTGGTTAGAGCTATTAAGATTGATATTTTCGACCATTATCCTCAATAGTCCACTTTCTGTTAACAGGGATTTCTCTTCTCTGTTTTGAGGATCTTGGCTGTTTTTATTTATTTTCTCATGGCAATTTTGTAATCTCAGTTGTTTAAAAAACTGAGTATCTTGTTGTATATAAACTCACATATTTTGGTGAATGAATAAAAGTTTTTCATTGACCCAAAAAAAAATTGCCACTAAGAAGATTATCGCATATGAGTTGCCTAATCTAGCAACCAAATCTGCCTCAGACTCTTACGGTTGAGGGCCCAGCTTGAGGACTGCATACGAACAAACTTCTCATAATTTTGAAATTTAAGCCCTTCTCATTTGGGAGCAGATATCATCTTAAGACCTATCCACTTTATTCATCAAAGAAACTGTAACCCCCAATACATCAAAAATAATTTGAATCTTTAACCTACTACATCAGCCCTTCATTTTCATCATTATGAGTCATTTAATTATTTTGTGGGCATGTTTTTTTTAAAGCAGATAAGTTGATTTGAAACCTTAGCGGATAAGTTGTCTAATAAATAACATACAAGTAGCACTTATGCAAAATATAAATGCCACTAGAACCTGACTTAATGACTTCTTAAAAAGTGAAGAAAACTTGTTAAGATAAGTTTCAGTTAAAGAATGCCCATAAAGGATAGAAAATATTACTTTCGACTAGGGGGAAACCATCTTCACAGTCATATATAATAGCCGCTTTGTATCCAGCATTTTGTGCATTTCTTACTTTATCGTCAAAAGAGCAGATTCCTCTAATAATTAACGCAAATGGAGAATTTGAACCTTCAACCACCCTGTTCTTCAATGGAGAGCACGCATCTATAGGATCAGCCAAGTATAAGACCCCATTTTCAACGGATCCTTTTATCTTAGGAGCTGTAAGAAATAAAAATGAAACGCCTATCACATAAACGTACAATTACACTTATCACATGAAGTGAACAGGAGCCAGAAGAAATACTTCCTTTACGTGTGACCCCAATGTGTGATTAAGGTTGTAACATTCAAATGATAATAAAGGAAAAAATGATTTCGCAAAATTAAGGAGGCAAATAGCTCAAACATTAGAAATTAAAATTGTAACATTCAAATTCATCTAAACACATATCTAGCTCTCTTTGTTTAAGCAACCTCAACTGATAATAAAGGAAGCTCATGAAAAATAAAATAAACTTAGGAAACGTTTATATAGTTGGAAATGACAAGTAAATCTTAGTAGTCATTATAATTGATCAATAACACTCTACTCCAGCAAACCCACATAAAAAAATGTCAAACACCTTTAATCCAACATAATTTGAAACTATTGAAGTCACTTGGTTCATACCTTGAGGGAAGAGTTGATGCACATTGCGGGAATTGAGCACTGAATTAAAGCAGCCACTTAATACAGCATGGTTAATTTCTAGTGCATGCCAGGCACCACATTTTATAGGGTTTTCTCTTAGAGACAGATGTTTTAGTTGATAACTTCACCAAACAGACGGTATATTGGAAGTAGGTTTATTTAAACTTTCTAATGTATGACTGTTCCAAAGGTCCAAAGACTCACCATTTGTTAAAACAATAAAAGGCAAGCAGATACCAAGCACTTTGTCTAATGGGTTTGTGTGTGTGTGTACCAAGCACATATTTCATGGTTTGTGCGTATGTGCGCGTATGTATGCTTGCGTATGCACGCGTGTGTGCGTGTATCATTACCTCAATCAACAATAGTGAAGTAAGTTTAACTAAGCTTGAACGTTCAACTATCCCAAAGCTGCAAAGACTATCATTTGTTCAAAAAATTAAAGGAAGACACCTGAAAAAAGATCCAGAACAATGTCTGTCATGTTCTTTTGTTTTGCCTTTCTGTTGCTGAGTATATATTTTATGCACAATTAAAGAAAACGAATGAAGATACTGAGCTACATCTTATACTTCAAAGGTCGTGCTTCAGCTTATTGACAAAGATGCACTGAATAAAGATGCACTGAACATATATAGAAAACAACTTATGGAAACTTTTGCAACCCACATTAAATTGTAAAGTGTTCATTTAACATATGATGAATCTATCACAGCAATGTCAGAATAACATTTAAATATGTAAACAGATTGGTAACGTGAAAACTGCAAAAAGACAACAACTGCAACATTACCAGGCTTTGTATCCTAGGTATTGAATCAAGTTAGTCATATGCTGAAGTATGCAATATCGTTCAATATATAATGATGTTGGATGAATTTCTTTGGAAAATCACAAAAGAATAGATGAAGAAGCAGAAGGGAAAATATGGCTGAAATTTCCTCCAACACGACAGATTAAGTTAGTGGTAATTTGCTTGTAGTATTATCTATAAAAAGCAAATTATTAGTTTGTGTGCTTGATTGATCTTCGCGTAAACCATTGGTTTAGATGTGAAGGATCCAGGCATAAGACCAAAATATTAATTTTCTTCTTCTTTTTCTTGTTTGCTAGTTATCATGCCCCATAGTTTGCTATTAGATGAATATCCACCATCATACTACAAATTTCAGATTTTTTTATGCTGGATCATAAAAGAAGCCAAATACAATCAGCTTCCATCCAATATAGTAATTCAAAATTCTTTATGATGTAAAATATTGAACTCAAGGTCAGGCTTTTTCAACTAGGACAGATTTGACATAGGATGACTTTCTCTTTGAAAATCACAAACAAAAATAGGAAGAAAACATAGCTGAAATTTCTTTTAATGTTACTTTTTTGGTTTTAGTAGCACTTTTCTTGTTACCTTATCTATAAAGGTAAAGTTATTAATTAGGAGTTTTAATTGATCCAGGTAGCCATTCATCCAAGTTTGAGACAACAACAACAATAACAAAGCCTCTATCCAAATGTTTGGGGTCGGCTACATGAATCCTATTATTCCATTCCGTTTAATTTTTGGTCACGTTTTCCATTAAGTTAATCATTATCATATCTTTCTTAATTTGCCTCTGACCAAGTTGTCTATATCTAGATCTCTTTGCCCGATTAACTATAATATTATCTTTTTTCCTAACCGGTGGATTTTGAGGTTTCCAATGTACATAATCAAACCGCTTTAGTCGATTCTCTCTCATTTTATCATCAATAGGAGCAACTCTAATTTACTACATATGCACTCATTTCTTATCATGTCCATTCATGTCATGTGGATCCGACTATGTTTTGCTCCGACTGACGACTATCTAACGCAACCCTCCTTTATCCTCGATTGGAACATGCACTACTGGCTAAAAGCACAGCACCAGCAAAGTTTCATCCAGGGTTGAGACCAAATCCTAATTTTTTTTCTTCTTGTCCTTTTCTTGTTATTATCCCCCATCAATGTAACATTCGAGAAACAATATAAATAGTTATAAATAAATTAGGATAAGGGCTTTAATTACCAGCCGTTAAAGATTGGTTAAATTACACTGAAACCCCAAGAATTTTCAGTGTTTTGTAGTAAATCCTATATAACTTCCAAAACGGCACTAAACCCCCAATAAATTTTGCATAAACCCCACAATATGTTTTGGGTAAATAATGGTAAACCCCCAATAACTTTCAGAATGCCTTTTATGTTGTTTTTTAGTTTTAATTTATGGGGGTTATGCGCAAAACGTAGAAACTTATTGGGCGCTTTTGTGCAAAACGCAAAATTCATCAGTGGTTTAGTGCGAATTAAAAGTTATCAGGGGTTTTCTGCAAAACGCTGAAAGTTGTTGGGGGTTCAGTGTAATTTACCCCATAATCAACGTAAAAAAGCTAAGAAAATTACCAAAGGCAAATCGAAATAAACTTCTGTTAAATTAAATGACCGTTGGCTACTAGTATACGGATAACAAATGCAAATCGAAATGAACTTCTGTTAAATTAAACTGATAAAATGAGAGGGGGGGGAAGAAAAACTTACTGAAGTTAGCCTCCATGTCATCAAAGGACATAGAAATGTTGTTCCCCATCAAAACAACATTGCCAGTCACAAACCCCACCACCAACAATTGAATCAATAGAACATAAACTCTAATTAACAAAGCCATTCTCAAACAAAGCAACCAAGACTTCGACTTTCACTCCCAAAACCCTAAACACCTTCAAAATTCGAAGTTCAAACACAAGAAGTAACCATTCGATGAATGGATCGTTGAGCACCACTGAAAATAACCTCAAATTAACAAAAACAATTAGGATTTTGGGAACGGAGACGTCGAATGTCATGAAATGTGAGGACTATAAAAAACGAAAGGGTTTTAATGGAGAGAGGGATTGTGAGGGTTTTAAAAGTGTTATTTGCATTCTAGTCCCTCTACCTTATTTTAATTTATATTAATTTCATGGGATGTTGCTAATTCCTATTATTAACGCTCTTTGCACTTATTTAAATAAATGAGTCGATAAATATTTCCTAGTGACTAGAAAATGGGGTGTTATTACAGGAGTGTCACCTGAGTTGAACGCGAGGTTCACTTTAGAACGAACGCGAGGTTCGTTAAAATTGAGCTTGATGCTCACCTGAGTTGAACGCGAGGTTCACTTTGGTATACTTAATTTATTCAATTAAGTTATGGGCCCTAATTAAGCTGTGAGACCCCAATTAAGTTTTTGAAAATTCAGTTGATTTAAATTAAAATTTTTTAATTTAAATCTAATTCGGTTTTTTAATCAATTATTTAATTCAAATATTATGACACTAAGGTATTAAGGTTGTCTCTCACTCCAATTGATTAATTGAAACAAGAAGTTGCCAAAGTAACCTCTCTTGTGTATATTGTTCATGAGGAATGTGAGATGTTTGTGTGTATGCTTTCGTGTAAATATTTAATCGGCCCAAAGGAAGGTTAATATTTATTTAGACTGTATACACATCTGCGATGATAAGCGTGTGACAATTATAAGGTTTACATGTGAATAATGAATCGATCCAAAGATAGTTTCATTATTTGACATGAGTTATTGTCAATGTTTGATCATTGCAACAAGGTATCACTTACAAGTTAATATTACTGTCCAAAGACTTGATATTAATGTTGTGCCGGTATCTTGGATGGGGATTGTCATTATTTGAATTTTATTGATTATGGTTATTGATGTGAGCATTTTTGTTTTATTTCAGCTAATGCATCTGCTGCAACAATTTCTGCTAACATCAACTCAATTCCCATGCTAAATGGAACAAACTTCAAGGTTTGGAAAGAGAACATATTAATTGTTCTTGGCTGCATGGATCTTGACTATGCATTAAGAACTGAACAACCCCAACCTCTCAATGCGGATAGCACTCCTGATGCAAAGAAGGAGCATGAGAAGTGGGAGCGTTCAAATCGCATGAGTCTTATGATCATTAAGCGCGGCGTTCCGGAAGCCTTCAGGGGCATAGAATCCGAAGGGATTACTAAGGCTAAAGATTTCCTTGCCGAAATTGAGAAGCGTTTTGCGAAAAACGATAAGGTAGAAACAAGCACGCTTTTAGCTCGCTTGATTTCAATGAAGTATAAGGGCAAAGGAAATATCAGGGAGTACATTATGGAAATGTCTCATATTGCTTCAAAGCTTAAGGCACTTAAACTCGATCTTTGTGACGAGTTATTAGTGCATCTGGTTTTGTTGTCTCTTCCTGCACAGTTTAACCAATTTAAGGTCAGTTATAACTGTCAAAAGGAGAAATGGACTCTAAATGAGCTCATTTCATACTGTGTGCAAGAAGAAGACAGGTTGAAGCAAGATAAGACAGAAAGTGCTCATTTGGCCTATGCCTCTAAGGATAAGGGCAAGAAAAGGAAGAATGATAAGGAAGCTGCTAAGGGTCCAGTTGAGAAGAAACAACATAAGGATAATCAGGGTTGTTTCTTCTGTAAGAAGCCTGGACATGTAAAGAAGGACTGTACAAAATATCACGCCTGGCGTGATAATAAGGGTACGTTCCTTGCTTTGGTCTGTTCTGAGGTTAATTTAGCTTCAGTACCTAGAAACACTTGGTGGTTAGACTCTGGTGCTACTACTCACATAAGTGTTTCTATGCAGGGTTGCCTGAGCTACCGAAAGCCAAGTGATGTTGAAAGACACATCTTTGTGGGCGACGGACAATCGGTAGATGTGGAAGCAATTGGGCACTTTAGGTTGTTGTTAGGAACTGGTTATTATTTGGATTTAAAAGATACTTTTGTAGTACCGTCTTTTAGACGGAATTTGGTTTCTGTTTCTGTATTGGACAAATCAGGTTATTCTTGTTCATTTGGAAACAGTCAATTCAGTTTATCTTTTAATTCAAATGTTGTGGGAACCGGTTACTTGAGTATTTATGACAACCTATATTTGCTTGATACAATTGCTTCTTACAATGAATCCTTGCATGTGGAATCACGTGGTACTAAGCGTAAATTAAATAAGGAAAATTCGGCGACATTATGGCATAAGCGCTTAGGTCATATCTCAAAAGGTAGAGTTGAGCGTCTTGTGTCTGATGGCATTTTGGATTCCCTTGATTTTTCGGACTTCGACGTATGTGTTGAATGTATCAAGGGAAAACAGACCAAAGTGAAGAGATTAGGTGCCAACAGATCTTCGGATGTCTTAGAATTGATACATACGGATATTTGTGGGCCATTCCCTACGGAATCCTGGAATGGTCAACAATATTTTATATCATTCATAGACGATTACTCACGTTATGGGCACCTATATCTTATTCATGAAAAATCTGAGTCTCTGGACATGTTCAAAGCCTATAAAGCTGAAGTTGAGAATCAACTCAACAGAAGAATTAAAACCGTCAGATCTGATCGTGGTGGTGAGTACTACGGTAGATATGATGGTTCAGGTGAACAACGTCCAGGACCATTTGCTAGATACCTAGAGGAATGCGGTATCGTCCCACAGTACACTATGCCGGGTTCACCTAGCATGAATGGTGTAGCTGAAAGACGAAACAGGACTCTTAAGGATATGGTAAGAAGTATGATTGCTCATTCTTCTTTACCAGAGTCACTCTGGGGAGAAGCACTTAAGACAGCAGCTTACATTCTGAATAGAGTACCAAGTAAAGCAGTTGCTAAAACACCTTATGAGCTTTGGACTGGTCGAAAGCCCAGTTTAAAGCATTTACATATTTGGGGATGTCCAGCTGAGGCAAGGCCTTATAGGCCAAATGAAAAGAAATTGGACTCCAAAACAGTTAGCAGCTACTTTATTGGGTACCCTGATCGCTCTAGGGGCTATAAGTTTTATGATCCCACTATAAGGAATATTTTTGAGACGGGAACAGCAACATTCTTTGAGGATGTTGAGTTTGGGGGGAGAAATAAGGTTAGAGACATTAGTTTTGAGGAGGAATTGGCTTCAGATCCAATCCATACAGTTACTTTTGACAATATTCAGGTTCCTATACCTGTTGTTGCTCAAGAAGTAAATCCGGAACCTCAAGATGATAATGTTGAACAACTCCCTGTTCCAGAAGAACAAACTCAACAACCTCAAGAACCAGTGCCATTAAGGAGATCCACGAGAGAAAGGAGAAATGCTATTCCGGATGATTATATTGTATTTCTCCAAGAACATGAGGAAAGTAGTGGAATGTTAGAAGATGATCCAATCAACTTCTCTCAGGCCATGAAAAGTTCTAACTCTCAACAGTGGATTGATGCCATGAATGAAGAGTATAAGTCTATGCAAGACAATAAGGTTTGGGAACTTGTCCCATTGCCAGAAGGTGCAAAACCAATTGGTTGTAAATGGATTTTTAAAACCAAGCGGGATGCAAACGGTAATGTGGAGAGGTATAAGGCGCGTCTTGTGGCTAAAGGCTATACTCAAAAGGAAGGCATTGATTATACAGAGACTTTCTCTCCGGTTTCATCGAAAGACTCTTTCAGAATAATCATGGCACTTGTTGCTCATTATGATCTTGAGTTACATCAGATGGATGTTAAGACTGCATTTCTCAATGGAGACATTGATGAGATGATTTATATGGTGCAACCAGAAAACTTTGTGTCAGGAGACCCAAAGAATATGGTTTGCAAATTAAGGAAATCCATCTATGGACTCAAGCAAGCTCCTCGTCAATGGTATCATAAGTTTCAACAAATAGTTATCTCGTTCGGTTTTGAGATGAACATTGTTGATGACTGTGTATATCACAAGTTCAGTGGGAGTAAGTATATTTTTCTGGTTCTGTATGTGGATGACATCTTGCTTGCCACTAATGATATAGGCATGTTGCACGAAACCAAGAGATTTCTATCAAAGAATTTTGAGATGAAAGATCTTGGGGACGCCTCTTTTATATTAGGGATCCAGATACATCGAGATCGCTCTCGGGGTATTCTTGGATTATCACAAAAGAGCTATATCGATAAGGTACTTAAAAGGTTTGGCATGCAAGATTGCAGACCAGGTGACACCCCTGTTGCTAAAGGAGACAAGTTTAGTCTCAATCAGTGCCCTAAAGGTAACCTTGAAATTCAGGAAATGCAGAAGATTCCTTATGCTTCGGCTGTAGGAAGTCTAATGTATGCTCAGGTATGTACGCGTCCGGATATTGCGTACATTGTTGGGATGTTAGGCAGATACTTAAGCAACCCTGGTATGGATCATTGGATAGCAGTCAAAAGGGTTATGAGGTATCTTCAGAAAACAAAAGATTACATGCTCACATACAGAAAATCAGAGAAATTAGAGGTCATTGGGTATTCGGACTCTGATTTTGCTGGATGCCAAGATAGCAGGAAGTCTACATCAGGCTACATTTATATGTTAGCAGGAGGAGCTATATCATGGAAAAGTGTCAAACAAACACTAGTAGCTTCCTCCACTATGGCAGCAGAATTTGTAGCTTGCTATGAGGCATCCAATCAGGGAATATGGCTGCGAAATTTTGTCACGGGACTGCGCATTTTGGAAAATGTTGAAAGACCACTAAGGTTATATTGTGACAATAAATCTGCAGTAATGTATTCCAATAACAACAGGAGCTCAACTAAGTCAAAACATATTGACATTAAGTTCCTGGTTGTGAAAGAAAGGGTACAGAGTGGACAGATATCCATAGAGCACATTGGGACAAACTCCATGATAGCTGATCCTCTTACTAAGGGATTGCCACCTAAGGTCTTTCATGAGCATACTGCTCATATGGGTGTGGTATTATTTGAGGATATTATGTTTTAGTGGGAGTTTGTATTTGTGGTGCTTTATGTTTGGTTGTATTGTCTGATCAGAATAAAGTATTCAGTTAAGACACTCTGTTACATTATGTTTGGTTT